AACAGGCCCCAAGATGGGATCTCGTGGATACAGAAAGTTACGGTGGTGAAATTAGGGTTTTGGCTCCGTCTCTGGTAGTTTGGGGGTACGTAGGTATATATAGGAGGAAGGAGTACGTCAGTGGAGCAATAGGGGGTTCCACGAGGGTGGAGGGCACGCCCAGGGGGGTAGGCGCACCCCTTACCTCGCGGCCTCCTGGTTGATGTCTTGACGTAGGGTCAAAGTCCTTTGGATCACGTTCGTTCCGAAAATCACGTTCTCGAAGGTTTCATTCCATTTGGACTCCATTTGATATTCTTTTTCTGCGAAACTCTGAAATAGGCAAAAACAACAATTCAGGGCTAGGCCTCCGGTTAATAGGTTAGTCCCAAAAATAATATAAAAGTGTATAATAAAGCCCAATAATGTCCAAAACAGAATATAATATAGCATGGAACAATAAAAAATTATAGATACGTTGGAGACGTATCAGGGGCCACTCCGGACCCCCTTGGCCTTCCCTGTGGCCTTCTTCTCCGGCGCCTTGTAGGGCGCCGACACCAGCATCTTCGCTAAACGCGGGATGACTGGTTCTTCAGGCAGCGGAGCTGGACATTGGATCCGCTTCGCCCTCTCCATCCAGTCCTAAAGAAACGATGACGATAAAAGCTTAGACATCATCCTTGAAATAGGCAAGTAAGGGATGCAGTAAGAATAACATACCTCATTGGCGAGGTGGCTAATGTCATGCTCGCGGTCCGAATCTGTGGCTGGCGGTGTTTTGTTGCCCTTAAAAAGCAACCTCCAGGCATCTTCGTGAGTGGTTTTGAAGAGCCTCTTCAGGGTATGGTGCTTCTTCGGATTGAACTCCCATAGAGGGCGGCTTCGGCTTTGGCTTGGGAGAATCCAGCAAACTAGCATCACCTAGATTATATCGACGAGTTTGATATCTTTATCCACCATGCTTTGAATGAGCATTTGCAGCGCTGTCAGCTCATCTGGCGAACACCAGTTCAGGCCCTTCTTGTCCCAGGAGGTGAGTCGCATGGGAGCGCCAGAGTTGAGTTCGGCAGTTGCGGCCCAGGTGGTGCCGCGGGGTGCTGTGATATAGAACCGATGTTTCTGCCATTCTTTTACAGTCTCCACGAAAGTGCCTTTCGGCCAGGAGACATCGGCCAACTTGCTCACCATGGCGCCTCCGCACTCCGCGTGCTGGCCGTCCACCACCTTTTCTTCACATTGAAGACCTTGAGCCACAGCCCGAAGTGGGGTTGGATGCGGAGGAAGGCCTCACACACGACGATGAACGCTGAGATATTGAGGAGGGAGTTCGGGGATAGATCATGGAAGTCTATCCCGTAGTAGAACATTAGCCCGCGGATGAAGGGGTGGAGTGGAAACCCTAACCCGCGGAGGAAATGAGGGATGGATACTACCCTCTCATTGGGCTTCGTCGTGGGAACGATTTGTCCCTGGTCCGGAAGGCGGTGGGCGATTCCCTTCGCCAGGTACCCGACGGCCCGAAGCTCGGTGATGTCCTCCTCCTGGACGGAGGAGGCCATATCCACTTGCATTGACCTCCGGATCCGGACATGGTTGAGTGCTTGCTCGAGACGGAGAAGATGAGAACTTGGGTGCTGGAGCTCAAGAATGGAAGGGCAGAGGAAGAGAGAAGGCGTTGGTGAAGAAAAGGGATTCTTATCTCCTTATAAAGGCAGTAAATATTGAACGCCTCCCCACTCGCCTTAAAATTCGCCTACTCCCAAGGGATGTGTAAACGGCATGGTTGGGTTACCCACGCCCGTATTGATGAGAATCCCATAATAAGGGGACACGATCTCTGCTTTGACAAGACGTGCCAATGGCAACCGCGTCTCGAAACATGGAGCGGCAGACGAAAAAGGTTCAAAATTATGACCAGACAGATGTGATGTCATGTTACCGAAAGTTGTCAGCAGATTGGACTCGTGTAAAATTATATTTTCTCTGCGGTTGTGTGTGGTTTGTGTTACAGGTCCGGACACGTCGATACGTCCGAAAACTATTTTGGAGTTCGGAAGGAGGAACCCGCCCTGCAATGCCGAAGACAGGCCTACGCGCCGGATACCTTGTCATTGAATCCAGGTTCAGGGGCTACTGAGAGAGTCCTGGACTAAGGGTTCCTCGGGCGTCCGGCCAGTTAGCCATGGGCCGGACTGATGGGCTGTGAAGATACGAAGACCGAAGACTGCACCCGTGTCCGGATAGGGATCTCCTTGGCGTGGAAGGCAAGCTTGGCGACGGAATATGTAGATTCTCTTCTTTGTAACCGACCTTGTGTAACCCTAGATCCTCCTGGTGTCTATATGAACCAGAGGACTTAGTCCGGGAGATATACATTACCATAGCCATACAAGCTAGACCTCTAGGGTTTAGCCATTACGATATCGTGGTAGATCAACTCTTGTAATATTCATATTTATCAAGATCAATCAAGCAGGACGTAGGGTATTACCTCCATAGAGAGGGCCCAAACCTGGGTAAAACATTGTGTCCCTTGTTTCTTGTTACCATCGTCCTTAGATGCACAGTTCGGGACCCCCTATCCGAGATCCGCCGGTTTTGACACCGACAATGGTCACATGGAAAATTTAGAATATTTATTTTTCTATAACATGGCAAATCTAGAAATTATTTTAATGTTCACATGACACCTTTTAGGATTTTTTTTATTCCAAAATCATGGCAATTATTGAAAATATTACTACTTGTGACATGGCAAATGTAAATAATATTGCCTTTTCTAAAGAAAAATTTGCTCTCTACACAATGTCAAATGTTTGAAAAGTGTTTCTTATGGTCATATGGCAAATTCAAAAAAAAAATCCAAAGCATGAAATTTTTAGAACTTGTACTTTTTTGACATGGAAAATTTAGGAATTTTTCCCCTGAAATCATGGGAAGTTCTGTAAATGTTTCTACTTGTCAGATGGCAAATGTATATTTTTTTGCTTCCTTCTAAATAAACATGTTGTACATACCTAGCAAATTTCAAGTCTTCCTAGATTTCCTACATTTGAAAGTCATTGCATCTCAATCTTTTAGCTCGTTGGCAAATCTAAATACTGGACCATGGCATCTGCTCATGCTCATTGTTGATTAGTGGAAAACTTAGAGTTGTCTTGCCATAGTTAGTTATGTTTGTCTAAAGCTCACAAATTAGGGTTTTATGAAATGTTATGTAACATTTTATTCATTTATGATATTCCCTGGTTAGATGATAACTCATAGGTGCATGACGGCAAATCTACACACATTTTGCCATGATATTTTTTTGGCATCATGATAAGTCTTGTGTATGCATCATGACAATTCTACACAATTTTTTTGTGTTGCCACAATTTGTTTTTAAGCATGATGGCATTTAGTTTGTCTGCATGGTGGTAAATTTACACAAACTAATATATGTACCATGCCAAATGTTCTCACATTTTGCCAAAAAGTGTTTTTTTCATGGCATTAAGTATTGTGTTTACAACATGGCAAATCTATACACAATTTTGCCATGATGTGTCTCTACTCATCATGGCTATTAGTTACCACAAAATAGGTAGAATTTTCTCAATATTTTTGCCCGGTTTAGTTAGTAAATTTGCCATGATATGTATGGTTGCCATGATACAAGTAGTATTCTGTGCAATTTGCCGTGATCAAGAGAGCTAACTTTTATATGTTTTTACATAGTACATTTTCTTAAATTGGCCATGTAACCATTTTTATTTTTATTTTACCAAAATTGCCATGATTTTCCACCATACGAAAGTTCCTACATTTGCCATTTGAACATTTACATTAAAAAACCCCTAAATTTATACCATGATCATAAGTACAAACTTTAATTTTCTCCGTGAGTCGACAACTAACTTTGTAAATCCAATTTGTAATACTTTATATGAACAAAATTAGGTATTACTATTAGCATTACTGCAACAAAATTGGCCTATATGAACAAAGTTTATTTACAGAGTACCGTAAGAATCTTGATGTTCTTAAACAAGGGTACCATCACCGAACTTTTGACTGGACTGTTTTGTATTTTAATCTTGTTTCTACAGATGGAGTACTTGGCTGATTTCGCCGATGAGCGAACATGCATTTGTATCCGAGAAAAGATATTCTACCATGCACGGGAGGCCCCGTGCATGGGTCCCATGCCTGAGTCAATCTCTCTCTTCCTTTACTTCTTAGATTACACGTATAGTACTCCACTCACCCATGTCTTCTTCATTTGATTTTGAAGTTTGAATCTTATTTATCTATTGAATCAAAAGTCTAATTTATAATCTGTTTGTGTCAGTGTGTTCCTTGCGATTAATACTTTGAAATAAGACCACCCTTGAATACATTTGGACAGTTTTTAAAATTGAAATATGAGACATGATAAAACTCTTAAATATATAGCGAAAATGGTCGAGTATTTCTTTTTACGAAGAAAAGCCTTTCGTTATTGATGGCGAAGAAAACAAAATCAGCACTATATTAGAATAACTCTATATTGTTTGGGAATATATATTTTTTCGCTCAAATTTTTTAGGGAGTTCTTTGTCAAAAGTTTTATATTAGTACGCCAGTAGGTCAAGTTTGTTCCATTTTTTAAAGATTTTTTACTTTTTCCTAAATTTATAAAAAAAGCATGTTCTTTTTACCAGTTTCACCATGTTTGATTTTGTTTGGAAGGCTTCATTACGAGAAATGCAAATGTGCAACCAGGTGATAAATCTGACTTTGTGTTCAAAAGATAAAATTGATACAATCCTTGAATCATATGAAAAAAAAGGTAACTTGCACTGTCTAGCACGAATCCCATGCACGGTAGTTAATCCAATCTCATTTGCATCCACCATTTAACCTGACAGCTCGTGTAGGCCAGAGACCATATAATGGAACACAGTGGGATCTGGACTGCAGCGATAGTCAACCCCGGACGCAAGCAGTGACGCCACCATCGGCCTCCAAACGATGAGCAACACCGCGCCTATTTAATGGTGATGAACTCGATTGTGCAGGCGCAGTCAATCAAAGAGCACACACGCACCCGTCGATCTCCAAGAAGCGGAAGCGGGAGCGAGCAGAGCAAAGGTGCGATGGCGGCGCCGGCGGTGAAGGTGCACGGGTGGGCGATGTCGCCGTTCGTGGCGCGCGCGTTGCTGTGCCTGGAGGAGGCCGGCGTGGAGTACGAGCTCGTCCCCATGAGCCGCGAGGCCGGCGACCACCGCCAGCCGGACTTCCTCGCCAGGAACCCCTTCGGCCAGGTCCCCGTTCTCGAGGACGGCGACCTCACCATCTTCGGTACACCTACTTCCGTCGACCTCTCTTCTTGTTTTCACTTGGTTGACTAATTCCCAATCCCATAAAGGACTGATCGTATGAAGCTTCACGCAGAATCGCGCGCCGTCGCGAGGCACGTGCTGCGCAAGCACAAGCCGGAGCTGCTGGGCTCCGGCTCGCCGGAGTCGGCGGCGAAGGTGGACGTGTGGCTGGAGGTGGAGGCGCACCAGCACCAGACCCCGGCGGGCACCATCGTGATGCAGTGCATCCTCACCCCGTTCCTCGGCTGCGAGCGCGACCAGACCGCCATCGACGAGAACGCGGCAAAGCTGACGAAGCTGTTCGACGTGTACGAGGCGCGGCTGTCGGCGTCGAGGTACCTCGCCGGGGACTCCCTCAGCCTCGCCGACCTCAGCCACTTCCCGCTCATGCGCTACTTCATGGACACCGAGTACGCGTCGCTGGTGGTGGAGCGCCCGCACGTGAAGGTGTGGTGGGAGGAGCTCAAGGCCAGGCCGGCGGCGAAGAGGGTGACGGAGTTCATGCCGCCAAACTTCGGGTTCGGAAAGAAGGCACAGGAGTGAAGACAAGAACGAGCACCGACCGAACATGTTGTGTGGTCTGTGCGACCATGGCTCAATGTTTTGGGTTGTTTGTGTTTCACGCATGAATAAAGCAAAATGCTTTGGGTTTCTCTATACAATTTCTTCCAAATTCTAACTAGTACAGTCTAGTAGTATAAACTGAGCTTGCCACTCCTGTGAAGAATACAAATTTTCTGCAACAATTTTCTGAATTGATAGAGCAGAGGCTAACATCACTCAGTATTTAGAAGAGAGATTTTTTTTCTTTCAAAAAGAGGAGAGTGGATTTTGAGCTCCTATAGGATTGCAATGAGAATGAACTGTAGATTGCTGCTCTGCGCCGGTGGAGATTTTTTTTAGAACATCATGGAGCCAGGTATCATTGCTGGGGATGAAACCATCATATAGCCATGCAAGCATGTTCAGTTTTCTTAGCTAAAAGCAGTACTCCTTCGTTTTTATTTACTCCAAATATTAGGTTTATCTAAAGTTAAACTTTATATACTTTCAACAAGTTTGTAGATAAAATATATTAGCATACGGGTGTGGTTAGATCTCAGTCGACAGAGATTTAACAAACTCTCGGTCAAGTGATATAACATGTAAGAAAAAACTCGAAGTCGGCTGATGATAAGCATCCAGAGGAAGTTGTTGTGCACCCAGTTACACCACCCCCAACGGTCAACAACAAAGAAAAATTTGAAAAGAAAATCTGCACGGATCTCAATATATGATTCGATGAATATAGTATCGACTGAAACATAATGAAGTCTAGTTGACTGAGACTTAGTAAGACTGTTAACATATACACCACCAAATCAATACCAGCGATGCATGTAGGCAGACACGAAAAATTAAAGGAAACGGAGCAATAATAAATGTCAGACATCCGAGGAGTCTCATATTTAAGACAAAGACAAGAGGGAGTCCTGGATTAGGGGGTCTCCGGATAGCCGGACTATCTCCATTGGCCGGACTGTTAGACTATGAAGATACAAGATTGAAGACTTCGTCTCGTGTCCGGATGGGACTCTACTTGGCGTGGAAGGCAAGCTAGGCAATACGGATATGGATATTTCCTTCTTTATAACCGACCTTGTGTAACCCTAACCCTCTCCGATGTCTATATAAACCGAAGGGTTTTAGTCCGTAGGACAACAATCACAACATACAATCATACCATAGGCTAGCTTCTAGGGTTTAGCCTCTCCGATCTCGTGGTAGATCTACTCTTGTATTACCCATAGGCTAGCTTCTAGGGTCCAGGGTGAGACTTTTCTTCCCGGACAGATCTTCGTATTCGGCGGCTTTGTACTGCGGGCTAATTCGCTTGGCCATCTGGAGCAGATTGAAAGCTACGCCCCTGGCCATCAGGTCAGATTTGGAAGTTTAAACTACACGTCCGATATCCGTGGAGATTTGATCTTCGACGCATTCAAGCCTCTGCCTTGTGCGCCACGCGGTCACGATGAGCATGACTTAGCTCTCCCATTGGACAGTGTTAAGGAGATCGCACCGGCAGCCGCTCCGACCCTCAATTCAGAGCCAATCGCGCCTTCCGCGGACGGGTGGATGGACCCCGCCACGGAGGCCTTACCCTCAGCGGCGATCGAGCCGAACATCGACCTTGCCTTGCACAGGAGCCGTATTGTTAAACTGTCGGATCCTTCTCCGGCCACGGACTCCGAACCGCCTGCGCCCATTCCTATCGAATCCGATTGGGCGCCGATCATGGAGTTTACCTCCACGGATATTTTTCAGCACTCGCCCTTTGGCAACATACTGAACTCATTAAGGTCTCTCTCCTTGTCAGGAGAATCCTGGCCGAACTATGTCCGGCAAGATCGGGATGCGGACGACGAAGAAATTCGACGCCCACCCACCACCCACTTAATAGCCACTATCGATGACTCAACCGACATGCTCGACTTCGACTCCGAAGACATTGACGGTATGGACGACGATGCGGGAGGCGAAGAGGGACCACCGCCCACAGGGCGTTGGACGTCCACCTCATCATATGACGTATACATGGTGGACACAACAAAAGAAGACGACGCCGAGGAATGGAAGGATGCAACGAAGGCTTGTTCCCTCGAGAAGCAGTCAAAGCGGCGGCGCACCGCCCCAAATCCCGCCTCGGCAGAAATAACGATCATACAAACCCAGCATTGGAGCAGGGCGAACCACCGCCGGACCACGGCAATATGGAGAATCAAACCGAACAAACCAATTCTGTCAAAGATAATAGTCCGGACGACATAACCCCGGACAGGCACCCGGAGCAGCAGAATGCCCGTCAAAGGCTTGTTGCCACCGCGAGGAGTTCGAAAAAGCAGAAGCAAAGGCTCAAGGCTGCGCAGGACACACTCCAAACCAGATGGAGTAAAGTACTCAACACAACAGCGAAGTACGGCGGCAATCGCCCCACCAAGAGCTACCCAAAGCAGAAGTTGCTACCTGAATTCGATGAGGAGGCCTCAGACCCCCCACAACCAAAAATTAAAACAGCCATCTAGCCGGATAGACGACCTCACGGCCAACATAAAGCGGCAAGCAACGCCGCACATAAGCCAATACGCGGTCTACGCGAGGGCTCGCATCAAAAGGACGGCGAAACCAGATCCATTTATGGACCACGCAAGCGTGCTCCAGCATACGATGCAACACAACAAACATACGAACAACACGGTACACCCAGATATAGGGGTGCGCACACCCCCTATGTTTCACCGATGAGGTGCTGGACCATGAATTTCTAGAGGGATTCAAACCCGTAACATAGAGGCATATGATGGAACAAGAGACCCTGGGGTCTGGATTGAGGACTATATCCTCCATATCCACATGGCTCGGGGAGATGATCTCCATGCCATTAAGTATTTACCCCTCAACCTCAAAGGGCCAACTCGGCACTGGCTTAAGAGCCTCCCCGAAAGCTCCATTGGAAGTTGGGAAGAGCTCGAAGACGCCTTTCGGGCAAATTTTCAAGGGACTTATGTCCGACCTCTGGACGCGGATGATTTGAGTCATATAACTCAACAGCCTGGAGAGTCAGCCCGAAAGCTTTGGAACAGGTTTCTTACTAAAAAGAACCAAATTGTCGACTGTCCGAACGCCGAAGCCTTGGCAGATTTTAAGCATAGCGTCCGTGACGAATGGCTTGCCAGACACCTCGGCCAAGAAAAGCCGAGAACAATGGCAGCATTAACAAGCCTCATGACCCGCTTTTGCGCGGGTAAGGATAGCTGGCTAGCCGGATGCAGCACCAGCGACCCCAGTACATCCGAAGTTAGAGATGGAAATGGGAAATCACGGCGCAAAAGCAATAACAAATGCCGGAATAAAGAAGACAGCATGAAGAGCACAGCAGTAAACGCCGGATTCAAAAGTTGTTGGCCAGGTCAGCAAAAGCCACCCTCTAAAGGCGCCAAAGATGAACTGTCCAGCCTAAACAAAATTCTGGACCAAATATTTTAGATCCATAGCACCCCTGGTAAACCCGCTAATCATACCCACAGAGAATGTTGGGTCTTCAAGCAGTCCGGCAAGCTCAACGCCATACACAAGGGGGAGGATACACCAAGCGAAGACGAGGATGAGCCTCTCAAGCAAGACACTGGGGAACAAAAGAAATTTCCACCAGAAGTCAAAACAGTAAACGTGTTACACGTGATCAAGGGGAGAAACAAAACGGCACTCCCAGAAAAATATGTCCAAGGGACTATCACCGCGGAGTCCTGCCACTGGTCGTCTCAACCGATCACTTTCAACCATCGTGATTACTCAGCAAGTATCCGGCGTGCAGGATGGGCTGCCCTAGTATTAGACCCAATAATTGACGGATACCACTTCACACGAGTCCTGATGGACGGTGGCAGTAGTCTAAACCTGATATACCAGGATACAATCCGTGAAATGGGGATAGACCCAACGAAAATTTGCCATAGCAATACTACCTTTAAAGGAGTAACGCCAGGCCCAGGGGCTCATTGCACGACCTCCCTGCTACTAAAGGTTATATTCGGCTTCCCCGATAACTTCCGTAGCGAACATTTAACCTTCCACATCGCTCCGTTCCAAAGTGGCTATCAAGCACTACTTGGACGCAAAGCTTTTGCTCGCTTTAATGCAATACCACATTACGCTTCCCTGACGCTCAAGATGCCCGGTCCACACGGCATCATTACAGTGAACGGAAGTATTAAGTGATCCTTGCGCACCGAAGAGAATGCGACTGCCTTGGCAGCCGCACACTAAAAACGGCCTCGCCAACTAAAGTATTTGATAGGTCATCAAGACCACGGACGCGGTTAGACCAGTCCGGTGCTGCTATATGTAATTTATACCGGATTGATGGCCACACCCCTATTACAAATACAAGGGGCCCAACGTGCGCAGACAAGTGGCAATTTATACTCATTTCTAGTTATACATGGTTTCTTTAAAAACTATCTCTCTGCACAACAACTTTTTCACCTAAATTCCTCTCTTTTACAGATGACCATCGTGCTACACCCGTCCAGGATACGGCACAATGGATACACAGGCGCAGACGTGCAGCAGGGACCCGTTCCAAGGATTCTTTTTAGATTAAGACCCTGCGTAAACCTTTTTTACTGTCTCTTGTTGATACACATCCACCGAATTCTCAGCACAATTGAGAAGGATGCTGATGTCTTGGCATGTGGCCACGTCAGAATAATGCACGTACCTGGACACAAGGGGCTTCTTACAAAGGGCACTATTTAGGCCCGGTTTATACCATAAAGACCGAATACCTTAGGGAGTGTTCGGCGTCGCGAGTTTGGCCTTATATGCATTAGCTCTGAATCATTGTCTTTGGTCAAATGTTGGGTTTGCCCAGCTCCTGTGTTTTGGTGCCTTATGTTCTGCTTTATCGGCTAAGGCAGCACCAGGAGAACTACTGCGATTGTGCCCTGGTTCATCCAGACGAGCACCTCAGTAGAGAAAGCCGAAAACTGACTGTCATGATATAG